TATTGTTTAATTATTTTTTTTTTTTGTAGATTTTTTTTTGGTTATTTTTTTTCTTATTTTTTTTTTCAATACATTTTGTTTAAGTACTGCTTTCAGCTGCCTGTATAAATACATGTGCATATATGCTCTGAATTTTTTTTACATTTTCTGTTTACTATTTTCATAGCTTTTTCATTCTTATTTTGTTCTTAGCTTTTCTATTTGCTGCGGCTTTGCTTCACTTAGCATTTGCAAAATTCATTGTTTCAAGTCCATCTGAAAGAGGTATTTAAATATGTTAGTCAATTTGAAATTTCGAATGATTTGAAAATTATAAATAATTGAATAACTGCTAGTGAATTAAGTGAATTATGCTGTTCAATTTGGACGTCATTGGTATTAGTGCAAGGCTTGGAGCATTTACATTTGCATGTACAGAGCTGTAGAAGTATTTGAGTCTTAGTGGCATGCTCTTCTTTCTATAGTTGTCAGCATAAGAGTGAGAGAGGGAAGGATAGCTGTTTAACTGTGAGCTGCTAAAAGCTTTGCTCAATGCTCAATGGTGGCTGTTAATTAACATAGTCTCGTGCCTTGCTGAGTAAGAGTGAGACGGCTACTGAGGCTCGATATGAATTCGTGAAATGAAGACAAAACATAAGTGACAATGCTGACTTTAACAGTGCAATGTAAACGAAATAGTCTAGTCTTTTGCCACTAATGTGAATTATTAATAATAATGGCAGGCCACTAAATTGATACAGCGTTGGTTTATACAAATAAATGGTATTTATATATTAGTAAAAAAAAAAGATTTAATTTTCAGCTTACCCTAATAAAAAGTTGATCCATGTTGTTGCTGTGGTTCGTGTTGCTGTCGGTGTTGCTGCTGCTCTTGTTGCTGTTGCTGCTGTTAGGCTTTTCGTTTCTGTTGTTGCCATAAGAACAACTTCTCGACGAGCTCTACTTTGGAATAGTTACTTGTATCATGAGAACAGGGAATGTTCTCATTGCTATTGTTGTTGCTGTTATTGTTGTTGTTGTTGTTGTTATTGTTGCTGGCATTGGTGCTGTTGCTGCTATAGCGATAGCAATAGGTGCCATTGCGCCAGCTGGCAAAGGTATAGGGAATCGTATTGCGATTTGCATTGCGATCATTTGCCAATTGTGGTCGAAAATTGTTGTTGGGATTGTTTGGTGATGTTGTTATTGTTGCTGTAGCTGGTGCTGTTGTTGTTGCATTATATTGATGATGCTGATGGAGGTGATGATGTTGTTGCTGTTGTTGTTGATGTTGTTGATATAGCTGATGTTGCTGCTGTTGTTGTTGCTGTTGCTGCTGCTGGTGATGTTGGTGTTGCTGCATCATTTGTTGTTGCTGCTGTTGTTGTTGTTGTTGTTGCTGTTGCAGAAGCTGTATCTGTATTTGCTGTTGTATGTGTTGTTGCTCTTGTATTTGTTGTTGCTGCTGCTGCTGCTGTTGTTGTTGTTGTTGTTGCTGTTGGTTACGCTTAAGGAACTCCGATTGTTAATAAGGTCGACTGGCATCCTTTGGCCGCTTCAATTGAACTTTCAGTCTTTTCATGCCAATCTGGAAGCCATTCATGGCCTGAATGGCCGCTTGAGCGCTGGTGGGATTATCAAATGAAACAAAACCTAGAAAATTGTACAAAGTTGAATATTGGAAATCAATATGCGAAAATTGCTATAGCTCTAAGGATCATTTGGACTTACCGAAACATTTGCTTTGGTTTGTTGCACGATCGATGAAGACCTTAGAGCTGATCACATTGCCAAACGGCAGGAACATTTGCATTAACTCAGCATCACCAAATTCTTGGGGCAAATGATAGATGAATAGATTGCAGCCCTCCGGGCCGGATATAGAACATCCTGGGAACATCAGAAAATCTTAAAAGAAGACATCACAAGAAAAGAAACAAAGTAGAGAAAACAAATTAAACGATGAGCTAAATCATAAATTCGAACTTTATGAGTTTGTCTGCTGTATAGATTTATTCATGGCTGTTCTTGAGTTTCTCTTCAAATATATATAGATTCAGTTCTTTGTTTGCTTTGTGTGTTTCGTGTTTTGTGGCTGATTTTGTAGACGATTCAACTAAAGCTAATGCGTTGCATAAAATTCAAAAACTAAATGACAAAACAATGATGTAGAAAATATATTCGATACATATATATATATGGGGAGGGGGAACAGAAAAAAATCAAACAAACAGTAACAAAATACGCTTGCATAGGCTAAAGTATTTATGTATATATATAGTTTATTAGACATAGTCGTATATGCTAAGAATGCTTAATGAGCTACCAGTTCTCTAATGCTATATACTTAAGTTATAAGCTTATGATAAATCGTCCCGAATTTCGCATATCCTGGTACAAGGATTGTATGTTTTATGAGTTCAGCAAAGCTGAGTTTTATGTGTGTCTATGTGTGTGTGTGTGTGTGTGTGTGTGGCATGCAGGTTAAGTACTCAGTAAATTTATTGAAAAATACAATTAACAATTAGCTACGCGCAACAAATTGTATATAGAGAAACAAAAATGATAAACACGTTACGAACAAGTTAGGCTTAAGGCTAGATACATATAATACATATACACACGCACACACACATACAGAAAGAGAGAGTGAGAGAGAGAGAGAGACGATGTATATAGACATTCTATATGCGCCTTATTAATGGCTGTTCTTTTATCTTGTCTCGACAACGTTTACATAGTTTTCTCTTGGGGGCAAAACAAAAGAAAAAAAATATATATATATAAAAAAATATAAAACAAAGCGAACATAAAATTTTATGATTTTTCATGTGCCTTGGCAAGCCTTTCCGGCGAATATCTTTGCTTTTTATGCGATTTTAAGCAGTTTATATGCAATTTTTACGATCGCCCATAAAATGCCTTTAAATGCAGCCATTAAAAACGATTTACGCCCTTCACGAACCTTTCCAAAAGGGTTTTTGAATACACAAATTGATACAAAGAAGGAAAAAAAGAATCTATGTAATTAATTTCGCTGGGCCTTTCAGTTCAATTTCAAGCGTTTGTGTGTGTGTGTATTTATATGTCTGAATGATTAGTATGTATATTTATATATATTTATATAGCTATATATGTAAGTCAAAACATTCATTTATAAAATTGAGAGCTCTTCGCTTGAGCTCTTCGTCACATCTCTCATCAACAAAACTCAAATACAATATTGATTTACAGTAAGGAAACTAAGGAAAAGTTGGTGGAAGGAAACAGAAAAGAGAGAGAGAGATAGAGAGAGAGAGAGAGAAAGAACAACCGACGAAATAATAATGAAAAGCTTACCTTCACGCTGAGTGGGTGCAACCGCCGCTAGGGGAGGTGGTAAAGCTTGTGGAAACTGTCCATAGACGGCGGGAAAGGCTGCGTTATATATAAATAATTTTTGTTTTTGGTTTTTACACAAAATCCGAAACATTTATAAAGACAACACAACAATTAAGATACGTATATATATATATATGATTTTTTGTTTTATGTTAAAGTAAGTTCTCTTGTAGGATTTTTCAGTTTAACTAAATTGATATAAACGAAACAAAGATAAATCAAATTCATAGATGATTGATAAACTACGACCAGATCAGATCAGTAGAATACTTAGTTATATATTCCAGTCAGAAACAACATCGGAGAGTTAAGAGACACCAGCTAAAGTGGGCAACTGGATTTCTAGAGTGAAGTCCATTTGACTTTCATAGACAATAACAAAATAAGGAATACAAGATAAACCAATTTCAGATCGTGTTTTCGCAAAGAAATGTCAAACGTCAAACATTGAAACAACAAATTTTGGGTTCGAATATATTCAAAATATAATTAAAAACAATGAGAACAAGTTTTCAACATAAAAGCCAAACCAAAGAAATGCAGATTTCAATTCAAGTATAGCTCGCTTAGGTGAGTCTGCCTTTGATTGTGAGAAGCACATAGAAGAGCGCTGCGGCGAGACTTGACTTGAATTCTGCATTTCTTTTGTACACAAATTAAATATTTATGTATATATAGAAGTTAGAGTTATATATAACACTTTACTAACAATATATATATATATTTATGGCATGACACAACAATTATTAATTATTTCAATAAAAACAATTATGAATGATTGAACTGTTTATTCTGTCTGTTGTTGTGGTTGAATTACATTTTATTTCCAGTATTATTTTTCATTTTTAAGACAATGATGTTATGAGAGAAACTGACATGATAATGCATGAGAGACACAGAGAGTGTGAGAGAGGGAGGAAATGGGAGAGAGTGGGTCGGTAGGTAGGGTCTGGTGGGAGTGTGTGGTCCTATAATGAATGATGAATTGACATTTTGTGCCTAAGGGACTTGTTCTAAACTATTATTAATATTTTCCTTTTGAGCACAATCAGATACGTAGTTCTCTTAGCCTAATGCATAAGTTATATATATATAAAGATTTTAAGAGAGAGAGAGAGAGAAAGAGAGAGTGTCTAAGGCTAGGCAGAGCTTGGGCACTTACCAACTCCTGGAAATGGTGGCAAACCAGGGAAGGCATGTTGCAGTGCAGCAGCATCGCCATTTGGCAAACCTTGTGGTGGTATGGTCAGATGCAGCGGATCTGGAGCGAGTGTGAGATCTTCATATGAATATCAATAAATAGTGATCGTTAGCTGGCTGCCAATATACCCTGTAATTCGATGTGAACACTTACGTGGAAATGCCGTTTGTGGAATGCCATTCGTGAAGACACCGTCGGCCACCGAGGCAGCTGCAGCAGCGGCGGCAGCGCCTCCTGGCTGCCCATTGGGCGTATTGGCGCCCATATTAAAGTTGGGCATCGTCGGCGAGGGCAGCGACGGCGGCTGCCCGGTGCCATTGAGGCCATGAGGTATTTGCGTTGCCAGGGCGGCCATTGGGTTCATGTAGGCAGCCGCCGAGCCCGGCGCTGTGGCCGCAGCGGCCATCAGAGCCGCCTGCTGTTGTTGCTAATGAGGCACAGAGGATTGCAATCAAGCTGACTGAAGTGACTGGGGGGCTGTGTGTGCGGGTGCACGGCTACTTACCTGCGCATAGGCGCCGTACGGTCCAAATTGATTAAAGACAAACGGATTCAATAGGTTCATATGACCGGCCATTTGCTGCATGCGTCTTATTTGTCGCTCCTTCTCCGTGTCGGCGTATTTGACAACCAGGCTGGAGGATGCGCCCTGCAAAGGAAATAATTGGATTCACATCGTGAGCTCACTGAGTGGCATTGCATATTTATTGGCGGCTCTTCCGTTTCTCATTTCTCGTTTCACGTTTCCCGATTCCCGCTTCCCGGTTCCCCGCTTCCCCGGTTCCCCTTCCAGCGCCTGGCACCATTCAATGGCAAATCCTATTACAGGCCATTATTTTGTGCCTTGTCACTCGACGGCGCTGGCAACGTTGCCCTATTTTTACCTGTGTGACGGCGCCGTTCCTCACCACACCTTGTCTCAGCTGACGCACAGCGCCCCGCCCAACCGTCCAATCGCCCGCCGCTGTCTGTGCACTTTGGCGCTTGGCTTTTGTTATGCGAAGCGGACTGCTCATTATTATCATATTACATTTTATATGCCTTTGTGATCCACAGCCACAGCAACAATGATAAAAAGCAAAAATACTCGTAAATAACAAAATAATTGGCAACGCACTTCAATTTGCATTTCCATTGAAATCGGCTTACAAGCTGCGCGCTCTTTATAATATATAATATAAGTACCTCCTACCTGGCTGCTCCTCCACATACATACATATTATATATATGCATATATATATACATATATATACAGCTGTCTGTGCCTCGCGCCCTATCTACAGTCAAGTACATTGAATCACGATGTTATCTATTGTCGGCTGTCATTGATTTTGTAACATTGAGCAACAAAGATGTTGGCTCCCTTCCTCTTCCTCTCGCTCTCGCTCTCTGTCTCTATATCGGTTTCTCTATCTCTGTCTCCCTCTCTTTGTTGCTTTCTTTGATGTCAATTAATTAGCATAATAATGGACGCTTCACATTTCGCACTTCCGCCTCGACTCCCACACCGCTGCGAGCTGCCGTCGTATGACAATTGAAGCGACAACATTTCATGTGCCCTGGCATTTTGTTTTGTTATAATTAAGACGTTTTGCAGATGAGTTGACTGTTTTTGTAATACAAAACCCGAAACAGGGAGGCTGGCCGAGGCGAGCCCAGCCGGAGCCTGGGAGTGGGTAGCTTTTATGATTTTGCAAATCATTAATCAATGTAACAATGATATTATATTGCATAATTTCAGCTGTCCGGCCTGCGAGTGTGTGTGTGTGCGTGTGCATGTGTGAGTCTGTGTGTTAATGAGACTTTAGCTAAACAGGTGCTTCATGTACATAGTTAGCAGCCCCAGCAAACACAATTTTAATTAATGAAATATGAAACTCAAGTTTATGCAAAGGCCAAGCTAAATATCCAGGGAGCAAAGCAACCGCAGGCAGGCCAACCTGCCGGCCATCTGAAACTCCTGGCACCAGGCGCAAGGAACAAGGCAGCCTGCACTCTGCTGAGCATCTTTGTAATGTATTTTAATGAGCCAACAATGAACATTGGATATTACATAATTATGTGTATCATGTGTATCTCTGCTCTGTGTCTATGAATCGTAGAAGCACACAAATGCTGCTCAGATGAACGCCAACAGCTTTAAGCTGCAAATGCTGAAGTCGAAGATAGGCGAGATATATGAAGAGTAAATAGCAGATCGAGTTGGCAAATTATAGAAATTACAGAACATAATTAAATGTTAAAGTATATGAAAAGAGCTAAAGAGTTGCTTAAGTACTTTAATTAAAAATTAAATATAATTTTAAAATATTTTAAGCAAGGTAACAGCAATTACGGCAAATAAAATCTTTAAGAAATTCGGAAGAGCATTTTCATCAACTTTTAGCTCATTTGCTGCTGCTGCTCATGAAATTTTAAATGAAATGCCAAACAGCAACAGCAGCAACAGCAACAGCAGCAACAGCAGCAGCAGCACCAAAAACAGCGAGAGGAACAACACATAATTATTGAAGTGCACTTCCTTTCAATTTTCGCCAACAAATTATAGCATATCAACAGCATGCCACACACTGGCGCACACCATCGCGGCTATGTGGCAGCAACAATGTGAGCGCTTGCCGCTTGTCCTGCCCAGTCGCGTCGCTTCGCCGCCCGGCTGCCTGTTAATTTCATATTTCGAAACATGACACTTTCACACATTGGCTAATTTGAAAGCATACAAAATGGTGGCCAACACACACGCACGCACGAGCTGCCGCGCTGTAGAGTTGTTGCCTCATTTCGTGACGAATGTGCTTTGTAGCAGCTGCCGTWGCCGTTGCCGTTGCTGTTGCTGTTGCTGTTGCTGCCGACTGTGTTGCATGTGGCACACAAAAGGCGAATCCTTTTCGCGCATATGCAGCGCGTCTCGTTAAATTGTCGCCTGACACCTCACTAATGTCATCACCAGTGTCGAGAGTCAGCCACATTATTACTGTAATTATGTTGGCCGTGTAAACGTCATTAGGCGTTTTAGTGCCAGCCAACGGTACGTGCCCCAATCGCGCGACAATGTCGTCTCCTGCTTCTGCTCCTGCTGCTGTTGTAACTGTCGTGTTGTTCGTGTAAATCTTTCGACATGTTTCACGAAAATTGCACTGGACAAATTGCAGTGCAACAAGAGCTGAAGTGGAAGTGTGGAGCGCAGTGTAGCATAACGAGCTCCTATCTATGGTTGCTAAATTACATGCTTATCATATATCTGTTTCCCATATACACATTTACTAGGTAGTACTAGTATATAAACTTTAACAACTTTAATTTCAGTTTTCTTTTATCTTATCATTTCGTTAGCCATATATTACTATCAACTATCAAACATTAATTAATTTTATGAACTATTAAAGACTATTCAATTGAATTGATTTCCTTAGCAGTCTTCTCTTCATTTCATTCATATCATATCATATTATTTCATATCTTCCTTCAAAAATCTCTTCATCAAAACTCATTTTCCAACTCGTTCCATGAACAAATACAAATACTTCATCAGCTCTTCTGCTTGCTCCTGCCCCTGCTCAGCTAATCCCTGTCATTTCCAATTACGCTCCTACATCTATATCGGACTGCCTCGCTAATTAGCGCTGCTCCTCAAATAGTGCAACAGGCTCGGTTAGAGCCGCAAGAGCTCATAAATTAATTCATTAACGTCAATTTGATAGCCATATAATCCCGAACCGCAAGTCTTGTCTCTCTCTCTCTCTCTCTCTCTCTCTCTCTCTCTTTCTGTTCCACTCTGCACTCTGGGGGCGGCTTGGCGATGGCCCCTAAAAAGGCAAGCCTTCGTGAAATGATGCCTGCCTGCGGTCGTAAGTCAGTTGAGTCGAATATGAACGTTTATTATATGCTATGTGTGCAGTTGTTTGGCTGGCACTTCCGCTTCCTGAAGACGGCGACACGATATTCCCATTCAAGTGAATTGCTGCGCCAAATGAAATGAAAAATTCAACACGACGCCGAAGGCAGGCAGCACGCCTCTGACTAGCTCTGAGTTTGACTCTGACTCTGACTCTGTGTGCAACAGGCTGCCACATGCCGCATGCCGCATTTGCCGCATTTGCCGTTTGCCGTCTGGCAACTAACAAGCCAAACTATACGAACGGCAGGCTTGGACTTGTGCCAGGCGGCACTTTTGGCAGCAATCGCATGTTGCATGCCACTTGCTTTTGCGGCAGGGTCCTGCAAACGTGACGCCATTAGCTTGCGCCTCTTCCCCGCCCTCCCTCTGCCTCTCCCTCTCTACCTCTGCCAATCGCTTAGGAGGCAAGCGCAGGCTTTACCATTTTGGCACTTGGCAATCTATATACACACTTATATATATATTTTTTSTGGTTCGCCTTATTGTTTTTTAATGCGCGTCGCTCAAAAGTTTTTGCTCGCCTCTTTGGCAAAGTTTCAAACCGCAGCAGGCCAATCGCACACAGGCAACGGCGCTCGTCGTTGCCCAATTACAATTGAAGGCTTACAGTGCATTTAAAAAGTAATTTGTCTGCCAGCCGACCCCCAAAAGCTCTGCACGTATTTATATTTAAATGCAAATGCAACCAAACCCGGATCCAGACACGAGCTCTGCACGGCACAGGGACGGAAGGCGTGGAGGGGAGCCAGGGGCCAGAGGTTCAGCAAGTGCACATGATAAACCTGTTGGCTGTTTGGGGCTCTCTTCAGACATGGCCGTAATCACAGTTACCCGGACTGGCAGTCGTGTTGCCGTTGCTGTTGCCGTTGCCATTGCCGTGTTCACTAATGGTGGCTACAAGCCGCAAGCGTTGAGCTCCAGCCCCGAGCGCAGAGAGTCAGGACACATGCACATAATAAACTGCAACGCGTGTGCTATAGCTACCACTAGAGCTGGAGCTGGAGCAGGAGGAGGAGCAGGAGGAGGAGCAGTAGCAGTAGCAGGAGCTGGAGCTGGAGCAGCAGCAGGCGCTGGAGTCGTTTACGTGTCTGGGGACATGTTAACATGGCAGTCGTGCCAAAAAATTATTATTCCCGCCTCGATGCCGCTTTTTGTGTGTGCAACAACTGCGAGCGTCGATTTGTCAACGCCTAAAAGGACAACATATTTCTCTCTCAATTTGCAACGAGAACGTAACACACAAAAAAGAACAAAAATAACAAAAAAAAAAAAAAAAAAAAAAAAAATGTATAATAAATGCAAAAGAAATACTAGCAAATAAATGGGCGGCAAATGGTTTTAACAAATGAATTATATATATATAACTATATATATGTATGGTAGTCTGTGCATGATTTGCATATAATAGTTTATTTTTATTATTATTTTTTTTTGCTATTTGTTTTTTTTAAGCAGTCGCCGGCCGCAGCTTGTTTTAATTGCTAAATGAATTGGCCGGGCGCGCATTTGTTTAATGGCCAGCCATTTTTATATATCAATTAAAGCGCCAGCAAGAAAATGCATTTATTTATTTAACATAAAAGCGCATAAATTTGAGCGCCAAATGGATTTGGCACAAATAAATATAAGCCTAATAGCAGGTGTTATTTAAAGGTGTTAAATTGTAGAAGAGCTCGCGATTCACGCGAAAAGCGAGTATAATATCTATATATGTATAAATGCATTAAAGGCTGTTACAAATTATAAATAGCTGACATATATTTATATAA